TCAATGCCGCTTGGGGGGACATACCCACCAGCAGGTGTGATACCTGGTACAGCAGGCGGGCGATACCGGCCAGGGGTCAGCCGGTAGCATCAGGACCGAGCTTCTTCGATGGGCCAGTCGCTGTGCCTCCCCTCCGGTCCCCTCCCCTACGAACGGAACAGCAGCAGTCTGTGCTCTATGCCGGTCGGGGGGACATTTCATATATGCGCAACATACATTTGTTCTACACCTCTCAAGTCATTTCACTGAGTCAAACTAGAGTCAACAGGGTCTCCTTTGCCGATTCTTCCGAGAAGGAGATTTACGGCGCAAGTGAAATACCACTATAAATAAATAAATAAATAAATAAATAAATAAATAAATGCGCAACACACCATAAATACCGACCATATCCCGAAAAAACAAATACAAAAAAATACCGACCATATGGGCAGACCCGAGACCGACGCGACACAATCCCCCGGACGTGTTCAGGAAGCCCGTCTGGTGTCGATCCCAGGCAGTTCCCGGTTCGCACCCGCGGTTAGCCGCCGTTAGCCGCCGTTAGCCGCCGTCAGCCGCCGTTAGCCCCCGTTACGACTGTCCCGTGCGCAAACGCCGTTAGCGGCCGTTGGTACCCGTCAGCCACCCACTTCCGCATTGTGTCCGACGGTCGACTGAGGTGTCACGCGCGGGCTGGTGCGATGATGGCGGTCGGCTTTTGCGCTGCGGGTAGCCGACTACGGGTAGTTCCCCAGATGAGCGCGAACGGACCCCGGCCGACGCGAGAGCATCGCCGGCCGAACGGCCAGGATTCCCTTTCCGAGCGCGTCGGGATACCCCGTTCTCGAATCTGTCGAAAAGTTACCGTTGGCAGTAGACCCTGGACGCGGGTGTCCGCCCCCCCAGGAGCGAAGGCGTCGAGTTGCACGCCTCCGCTGAGGAAGACGTGGCACGCGTCGCGTGCTTCCACGTGCCAGTTTCAAGGAAAACTCTGCTGCAAGCCAGCGCTATCAAGAATGGACAGCGAGAGATCGCCGGCGATGGCGTCCACAGGTCCGATCTCCAACGCGGACTCGGCAATAACCGTGGACAGCTCCCCAGCTCCGGGCACGAAATGTAACTTCCCGCCATCGCCTAGCTGTCCAACCACGTCCCGTGTCCCACCCCATCCCATTCCCATCGCCTAGCTATTCTATCCCACGTCCCATCGCCTGACTATTCCATCCCATGTCCCACCGCCTAGCTATCCCATCCTATGTGTCAGCGCGTAGCTCTTCCCTCCCATGGGCCCATCGCCTATCTGTTCCATGTCCCATGTCCCATGTCCCATCGCCTAACTGTCGCATTCTTTGTCTCATTGCCTATCCCATCCCATTCCGTCTTCACTGTGAGGATTGGCATCCTTCGCAACTTGAATATGGTATTAGACTGTTAGTAATACCTTTTTTGTTTTTGTTTTTTTGTTTTTGTTTTGTGGTCCCCACACAATCCTGAATGTGGGTATGTGGCCCGATTGCATCCCTTTACATTCCAGGCCATGCATAGATGCGAAGGGTGCCAAATACCCCATCGAAGATGTCATGAGATGGGTGTTTGCCTGGGTCTTTCCTCCCTTCTGCTACGTGCTCTCGTTTCGTACTCTTCCGTCGCTCTTCTTCCCCTTCCCTTCCTCACCCTGCCCTTGCACTTCCTGTCTCTTCCCGTCTCTTTTTCCCTTTTCTTTACTGATTTATCTATCTAGTTTTTGACTTATGAAAGCTGGTAGCCCCTAATCTCCTCGTGTTCAGGAGGATTCCAACTCTCCATCTGTTTGTTAAGGGTGATATGTGTTTACCAGTCAGTCACCAGGGTCAGGTACCAACCACAGCCAATATTCTTCCTCTCTCTCTTCCTCTTTCGTCCACCATAGCCAACTCTCTTCCTCTTGTCTTCCTCTTTCGTCCACCATGCCCAACGCTCTTCCTCTTGTCTTCCTCTTTCGTCCACCATACCCAACGCTCGTCCTCTTGTCTTCCTCTTGTCTTCCTCTTTCGTCCACCATAGCCAAGATTCTTGCTCTCTCTTCCTCTTTCGTTCACCATAGCTGAGATTCTTCCTCTTTCTTCCTCTTTCTTGCTCTTTCTTCCTCTTTCTTCCTTTTTCTTCCTCTTTCTTCCTCTTTCGTCCACCATAGCCAACATTGTGTATAGCTCCACACGTCTGTACTTCGGAGAAAAGCTACGGGAGGTTTCCGTTTTCTGTCCTTTTTCTCTTTCTGAACCAGACACCTACCGAGCGGGTCAAGACTCTTTTTTTTTTTGTTTTTTTTTTAACGTAACGACGTGCGTGGAGGAGCTTAGAGATGTTAGGGCGATCAACGATATGCGCACCGAATGTTATCGTTCATACCGGCTGCTCTGTACTGTATCCTTCTTTTTTTTTTTTTTTTTTTTTTTTTTTTTTTAAGAGATATTATCATTGAACTGACCGGCCCCAGGTAATTTTCCAATACGTGCTCCTCTCGACTTATAGAGTGGATGGGGCCTTGTCCAAAGGTCGGCCTGCGGAGGAGGGTGGAGCCCTGCATCGCCTCCCGCTGACGGCCACCAGATTGATGTTCTGCCAACGGAAAAAAGAAAGAAAGGAATCACCCAGTGATTTATATATGGGGAAAACAAAAGAAAACATCGTCTTCATTCCGCCGCGCTGCCTGCCTTTGCAATTTAGCACAGACCGGAAACCCATAGATAGACGATCGATTGGGCCCTTCTCGAACCCCTCCCCCTCCACTGCGATGACGTTCACTCGCGGATTGCGGGGTCGAGGGTCCCCAACTGAACCTTCTCCTTTGGGTCCTGGACACGCCCTATACTTGCGCGTACGCGCGTGAAAATAGGGTCTATGTATGAGAGAGCGTACTCAACGACGGCACGATTACCGTCAACGCACATGGACGCACTCGTGGGCTATGTACGACGCCTGCCACGTCGTCGAGCCGTGTTGTGCATTCTAGCACACCACTTGAATCGCGGGCGTGAACATAGGCTGCGTATGCGTTCATGTTGCATTCACGGTAATCGCGCCGTCGGTGAGTGAGTACGGTCTCTCATAGATAGGTCCATTTTCCCGCGCGTGCGCGCAAGTGGAGGGGCGGGTCCAGGGCCCAACGGAGACGGTTCAATTGGGGGCCCTCGAACCCCCAAGCCGCTTGTGAACGATTATTTTATTTTAGTGTAGTGGGGGGGAAGGTGTTCGAGGAGGGCCCAAGTGATCATCTATGGGTTTGGGGTCTGTGCTAACTTGCTAAGGCAGGCAGCGCCTCGAAATGAAGACGATGTTTTCTTGGTTGTAATCATGCCACGTGGATGGCTGTAGGAGCTGCATCAGAGTTTTTTTCTGGTTGTTGTTGTTGTTGTTGTTGTTGTTTTTTTTTTTTTTTTTTTTTTTTTTTTTTTTTTTTTTTTTATCGCTACTTCATATGTCCATCGCACATTTATATTTATCGGATATACTTCACAAATACATGGAGTGCTCTGTGCAGCAAGCCCCAGGCCTGTCTCTTATACACATCTAGATGTGTATAAGACTGGAGAAGATGACAGGGACCACCTGCTTTCAGACCCATTGGTCGGGTCATACCCACCTGCTCAGCCAATCCTCTGGACTCCAGAGTAATCAATGCTGGCAGGCACCTTCTAGACATTCATCCTGTTACTGGTCTATGG